CTCAACAGCTGGAAGCTCTGGGGTCCATAGGCCCAGATAGGCGATTTGGTTTGGATTTTCAGGGAAATGTTTAGAGGAGAAGGGGTTTCAAACATTCCCGAGTTATTTTTTCGAGGTCCCGCAGTGGATTGGCGGCAGATGGCGCATCTCCGGAGGCGCTGCCGCAGGTTGTGCTGCAGATGGCGGTCTCTCGGTCATAGCAAGTTGGCGTGTGTCTTTTTTTAGGGGATCCCCAGCACAAAAAAATGGGTACAACCCAATGGTACCTACCCTAAGTGCCTTTCTTTGGGGCCCTGGTCAAAGGGAACCCAATTATTTTAGGCTCCTCTTTAGTGGGGAACACCTCACAAAGGGGGAAAGGGCCGCTCAAGGGCCCATGTCATGTGTCCCTGCGGGTGTAAGTGCTGCGCGGCACAACACCCACCCACCCACCCGCCCGCCCACCCACCCACCCACGCACGCACGCCCGCCCGCCCGCACGCCCGCACGCCCGCCCGCACGCCCGCACGCCCCCGCCCGCCCGCACCACGCGCGCGCCCGCGCGCGCGCGCGCACGCGCGCGCGCGCACGCACGCACGCACGCATGCACGCACGCCAGCACGCCAGCACGCCAGCACGCCAGCACGCCAGCACGCCAGCACGCCAGCACGCCACCCAGCAGCAAGCCATCCATCCATCCATCCATCCATCCATCCATCCATCCATCCATCCATCCATCCATCCATCCATCCATCCATCCATCCATCCATCCATCCATCCATCCATCCATCCATCCATCCATCCATCCATCCACCAACCGACCTGTGTCTTGGAAAAGTGCAGAACTTAGACTGCGCCCTTCCAAGGAAGACTTGGCGACCTTGCTGGAGATCCGCAGGACAGAAAGGGATCCTTTTGAAATGCTTAAGCTTCAAGGCTTGCTATGGCCGGACCGTAGTACTATGGGACAGACTGCGTTTTGGTGGGTGGAAACATGGGGTACTTTAGTACCAACTGAAACCAATCCTTGGGCGAAACATTCACCGGTGTTTTTTGGGGGGGGTTTTGCCCGTTTTCTCTCTAAGACACCCATATGTCCACCCCCAGAAAAATATCGCGCATCCGAATTCCGAAGCCCGACTCCATTCGATTCGGACTCCCCTCGGTTCCAATCCTTCCATTTGCTTAAGATTATTTTTGTATTTTTCATCTGTTGGTTTTAAACGGAATTTAGCACTACTTTTTTTTTGTTCCAGGGGCCTTAGCCAAATGGAAGAATCGGCGAAGCGAAGCCCGAGGACCATTCTGGGCCCGCTGGAGGGCGTCTGCGTGCAGCTGGGCACCCTGCGAAGCCGCCGGGTGCTGCACACAGCGCTGGCGCGGCTCACCTTGCACGTGGACCACTTCGTGGCACCTCGGCCAGGGCAGTCAACGTCTTCACTGCTCTTGGAAGAAGTTGGTTTTTAGTTGTTGTTTTTTGTTCTTTTTGGTTCTTTTGGTTCACTGGGTTTCTGTTGTTTGTTGTTTTTTTGGTTCTGTTTATGTTTGAGGTTTTGGGGGCTGCCAAAAAAGTGTTTTGCAACCATGTCAAGCATAGTCAAGAAGAGGCCTCCAGTGAATTGCACGAACCATCTTGTTTTTTCCTACCCCCATTTCTTTTCAACCATCATGTTGTGGGTGTTTTTTTTTTTTTCTCGAGAACCCGGCGTTTCTCGATGCTTTGGTTTTCTGAAAAGCAGGATCCCTGGAAAGGACAGGCTCCCCCAAAACGCGTGCCGCTTTTTGTTGCCATGGGCACTGGGGAAATCAACCACCAGCTTGCGTTTTACGAAATCGGGGACCCTAGAAATGGTGTCCTTTGATGAAAAAGGGGCGGGAGTCCTCTATCAGATGATTTCCTTCTTTGCCAAATAGTGCAGATTAGTTCCACACAGTACTTTGGTACCCTCTGAAACAGACGACTCAAGCTCTAGTGGCTGGGAGTGGTACACGGCACAGGGAAGCCACGGGCATGAATTTAGATTCTTGAGTTGAGGGGCCCCCTCTGCTGGTTGGTTCAGAATCAGTCCTTTGTTTTCCCTATGGTAGTTGTGTGTGTGTGCTTTAGGGGTATATAATATACCCTTTGCAGCTTAGTTCAAAGGGACACCCAAGAGGAAAGCCACATCTTTGCTATCATGAGCCTCATCATCATCATAAAAATCATCCTCATCATCCTCGTCATCATCATAAGCATCATCCTCATCACTATTATTTTCACGTTGCCTTTAAGGTCCCTCCTTTGGTCGCTTTTGGTTCAAAACATAAAACCCTCCGGGGTGACCATTATTCAAACACCCAAGGCGCCAGAGGGGGCAGGGAATACGCGTGAACACGCGGGTTCTGGGGCTGGAGGCGGCATGCAGGGCTTGTTCTCTGGAAGTCCCTGGCATTTCAGCCTTAGCCAGAGTTAGCTAGTCAGTACCCAGGGGGCTGGGAGTCTTCCTTTTTACCTTGGGGGGGCACATGTGAATGCCATTGGCTGCCCTTGACTCGGCTTTGCACCTTGGACAGCTTGTTTGCAAGAGTGAGTGTTGAAGACACTAGCCAGCAAACGAGCATGAATTCTATTGTTGAGCTGTTTGGGGGGCAAACCAGGGCAAACATATAAGCCAGCAAAGAGGATTAAAACCGTTTGACCTCTCGGCACTTCCACAACATCCCAAATGAGCCACTTTTTGCGATACCAAGGGGCCAAGAGAATACCCTTCGAAGCGATTCTGTGTTAAGGACGGCCTCACAGCAAGGGCCATCCACGCGCTGAGTTCGTTCCATGTCATACATTTTGGGAAGATGGTTTTAGTCTTGGTGGCTCCCAGCCATTCCCTTAGCTTTTTAGCTTTTTAGCTTATGGAGATGTCCATTTTACCGACTAAAAGTGAGTCACTTTTAGCGGAAGATCTGAGGACAGCCCAGTGGCAACCAACCGCTTTGGACGTGAGGCGGTTTTCCACCTGTCCAGGAATGCGCCATGCAGTTCCACCAGCTCTTCGAAGCCAAACTCTTCGACAGCCTCAGGCGCGAGCGCCTTTGGGGCCGCTGTCCATGGTGTTTTTGTTGGTTCCTGGAAAAGATCCCAAAAAGAAAAGCTCTCACAGGGCATTCTGCAAAAACATGGACTTTGTACATTCCCAAGGTTCTCTTGCAAACGAAGACAAAGGAGTTTGCAGAAAACAAGCGTGAAGAAGCCTGCAGATCTTGAAAAAAACATGAGCAAGGCCCTTAGGCCATGTAAACAGTTGGACATGAGGGTGATCCATAGTTTGGCCCCGGCCTTTAGTTCTTCACCCTCCCCTTCTCTGCTCTGTGGTTGTCCCTCAAAGTTGGCTTTGATCGAGGGATGGTTCACTTAAGAGGTGCCAAGAGTCCAAAAGATAAATCTGTAAGTGGACGCGCGGGATGAGGTGTCGCTTGTTTCGGCTTAGCTGCTTTTGGGGCTGATTCCATAGTATAATATAAACATATATATATATATGTATACATACCATAAGAAGCTGGGAGACGTGATATTCACAGTTGGGCGATTGGACAGACTGCCCCCCCCAAGTCAGTTTGCACGTTCGACGGTCCTGGGAAGTTTGCTGAATCATGTTCGTGTCATTGGAAAGGGCAAAATTAGGGTTTGCTGCTGCTCCTGTTCTGAGCAAAGCAGAGTGCCCCCTTAGTCACTGAATGTTGGCTCTCGATTTCCACACAAGGAGGGGCAAAAAGGCAGTGCCCACACACATATTCGCAACCCCTCATGATTGCCAGGAAATCCCAAGTTTGTTCACCGCGGGACCCAAAAACAGATGTTTAAAAGTCTGTCCATACCTGTCAAATCCTCAAACAAAATTGTCAAGTGCCAAAAGAGTACAAAACAACTCCATCAGAGTACTAAAACTCGCTTGCCCAAGCTGCCTTTTCAACCTTTTGGTTTCCCTGATTTGGCCAATATTTAGTGAAGATTCCAAAACATCAGCCTTTGGTTTCAAGGCTGTTTCCGCAAGTGAGCTTCCAGTTTCTGGACTTCACTGTTTGGCAAGATCATTGTTTGGGGTCAAACTTTAGGACCATCTAACATCTTTGCCCTTGACTAAAACATATTTATATACCAGATTTATGTCCGCGGCTCGGGGTCGAGCATTCATAAAGCTTAGTAGAAAACGAACACAGGGTTGCGACGAACCTCAATATCATGCCTGAACCACAAGGGTAGTCCTCTACTTCTCCTCCAGGGGCGCGAATTTTCTACCTTCGCGGACGGGTCTTTGGAGCACCCCAGATGGCTTGCACGCTGGGTTGTTCCCAACTTAAACCATGGGGTGGCTCGGCAAATTTGAGGCCGCGGAAGGGCGTTCTGCAGCCTTGAAGTCTGTCTGGGTTTGGGTTTCCCCTGATGAACCCCAAAAAAGGGGGCCCCCCGTTTTCTGAGGATGGGGGTCAGCTGCCCTTGCTTCTTTCCGTGGGAGAGGGTTTCCCATGACATTCATCCGACCGACCAAAGTTGTGGTTTTTCCTCACTTCCCAAGTCTCGGGACTGCGCGCGTTTGGGATGACCGTGTTAGTGGCACAGAAGTGGCACACTTTTCTTGGCAAACAGGAACTGAGGTTCCCACAGTCGTGGGAAGGACTTGCACCCTGAGTGTGCGAGTAGATGGCAAGATTCCCTGAGATTCCGCAAGTAAAGCACATAAGACCCAACTTCGGGTTTGCGCATTTTTGGGTGCTCCTTGTTGCGAAATAGTGAGGCCAGATCTACTTCCCCGTGCTAAGCCGGTCACCGGTAGCGCCCGAGCGATTCGAGGAGCACTGAGAAGCCCGCGTTTCTGTCCGTGCAGAAGCCCCCGGTGCAGCGTAGCTACCGGCGATGCTTCCAGCGCCTTTGGCTCGGCATGCTCGGGGTTTCGGCGGTTTGAGGCTTACATTGCTGGTGTTGCATGTGGACACGAGGGGGAAGGAGTTGGGCATTCTTTCTGGGAGGAATAGACCGATCAGTGTCATACTTTGCCAGTTTGAAGGAACATGTTTGTACTGTTGCTGTCCCTTGGGGCGTTTGGGGGCCTCCGAAAAACCCGCACCAAGGTACATGTCCAGAATGTGTTTGTTTTTGGAGACCCCAACGGAATGAAGCCCCAGAGATAGTTGGGCAAACAGCTGAAGAACCCCTGGACAAGTAAGCTGGATGCAGTGCTGGATCCACGCGCTTAAGCTGGCGTAAGCGAGTGGCGTGAGCCAAAAGGATATGACATAGCAAATCATGGCACGTTTTTAAGACATGGCCCAAATGGTGTCTAACAGTTTGCTCACGTGGTGATGGCTGTCTCCGGCTTCTTAGAGAACCCCACAACCCCATCGTCAACCTGCAATGCGGTTTATAGGACTCAACCGGTCTCAGTCTCCTAAAAAGATACATGGTTGATAGGGTAGACCAATCGGCAGAATTCGGCCAAGGTTGGGGAGGATTCATCCACTCAAGTTGCCAAACATCTGGGCCAAGAAGGCAGCTCTCAAAATGTTGCCTGCCTTAACTTGCTGATGCTCAGTAAAAAATGGCCTTCCCGGTTTTGGGAATGAAGCGGAAGGGGGGATTCCAATGAAGGAAACCATAGTTGTTTTTGTTTTTGTAGGGGTCATTCCATTTCTCATTTCCTGTTGAGAACTACTTATTGCCCCAACCAGAAGGCCCGCGCTTTGGCCATCTCAGGAGAGCTTTGGCTTTGCGCAAGGAGATTGTCAAGAAGGCCTGGGGCGAGAAGCTGTGTTTGCCTGACATGTTTTACTCATTTGTTTTAAATGTGTTTCTAGGTGCGGTTTGTTCATGGTCTACTAGCTCCCCCAGTGCGCTTTCTCACCCCTTTTTCTTTTAGGAGGGTTCCCCTACTAAAATAGACTACAGAAAAAAGTTGGTACCCTTATTCTATCCTCTCTACTGGAGGACCTAGTCTAGTGTGCCTGACGTTTTGCCGAGCTGCGTTTCTTCATAGGTTTTCTGTGATATTTCTAGGGGTACCTTCCATTTCCATTCTTGACCCAGGACTCCGAATTTCTTTCTAGAAACCCTCCAGAAACCGGATCCTTTCTCGAAAACCTGCGGAAACCCAGGGGGAAAACAGCGCCCGGTTTTTTAAAAGAAGGATGCCTGGAAAGAATGGACAAGGGATCAAGCCCTAGAAAAGGTTGAGGTTCCAGGGAATCCACCCCTCGACTGCGCCATGCGCCCATCGGTCGCCTTCCTGGCTTCCTGGCTGAAGAAAACTCCAGCGAGGTGCAGAAGCTGGCGGAGGCCATGCCGCTGCAGTCCACGGAGGATGAGCAGTGCAGCGCCCCGATGAGCGGATGGCTTCCCTTTGGTGCATGTGGTTCGTTGGTTGGTTGGTTGGGTGGGTGGTTGGCTGAAAGTTACTTTGGTGCATGTTGCCAGGGGATGTTAGGACTTCAACTTTTTGCCAAAAAAAAACGAACGGGTTTTCCGAATTAAGCCACTGAAAGTTAGTCACTCTTAGCAGGGGAGCAGAAAGCCACCAAGCTTCCATTTGGTGAGGTTTGTTTTTGTCATTTTCCCCTGTCGGTTTTAAAATATTCAGGTAAAAGGGAGAATCCAATGTATATTTTGTCTTCTTGTTGGTTGTAAAGGGAATCTATCACTACTGGACATATTGAATCTTTTTCCAAGGGACTTAAGCAAATGGAAGGCGAGGGAGCAGGGGCTGGCGGGCGCCTCCGGAGCTCGGCTTGATGGACAAGTGGAACCCATCGGGGTGGTTTCAGTTCCTATCATGCACGAGCAGGGCCTTAAGGTTTTACCGCTTCGTTTGCGGAAAAATTGGAGGGTTTGTAAAGATAGAGGTGTTTTTTTTGTTTTTTTTTGGAAGTCGAGTTGGCAAGTTGAACTTCTGTGGTTGTTGAAGTGTCAGTCTTTCTATCTTCGCTCCCTGTCGATGAACTTCAGTGTGGCCTCGAGATGTGGGGAATTCCTTGAGCGCCTGAACATGAACCTGGCACGCGTAGAAAGGGCGTGTCATATTATAATATTCCCCGATCGCCACAGCCCCTGTGCCCCATCCAAGCATAAAGTCATCCTGGCGCGCATCAACTGTCCAATTAGACGATTCCGGAGTCGGGATGAATCGGGATGAATGGGGATGACATGCGATTGGCACACGATTTTTAAACGCTTTGGATGCGGCTTTTGCGGATTCACCCTGTAGGGTATCAGCAGATGTGTCCCAGAGTACCGGTACGTAGCGATAGTAAAGTACCCAACGAGCACCAATAAGGGGTGAAGAACAGGGTGACTCCGCGCAACTTGTAGCAAGCTCAGGCGTCCCATGAAGTTCTTTACGAGATTCCTTGTTTCCGGTGGCAAGTCGCTGCGACAGCATTCAAAGAGTACCGCTGACCCCGGATTAATAAACCCCTGTTTATTAATATGAGGGTGTCCCTGGTTTTAGTGGGGATTTATCACTTTTGGAGGGGAAACCCCCCATATGTATAAACAGGGGTTGATTCATCCGGGGTCAACAGTACCAAGTTTGCCGGCAAGAACATGTGGCTGTGGGTCAAAACCAATGGTATCCCATTTTGGGGTAGGTGAGATTTCGCCACTTTGAGTGGTTGGATGGGGATGTTCACTAGGGGTACGATTTGGATTTTGACCCATGGCCATGTGGGCTCCACACCTTTTGCCTTGGACGGATGTGAGAGATTCGATGTTAGGCTTCGAGCAGCTCAAGACCTCCATGACTGCAGCTTGGCTCAAATTCTCCCCCGGCATGTCCGGGTGGTACCACGTTGCCGGGTCACACCCTTATAGGGAACCAAGACGGCATGCATGCAAAATGGCGCCAGGTGCTATAGATGGCCTTCAGCAGGATGATGGGTGTTATTTTGAATTTTGCCAAGACTTGTGGGTGCCTTTGAAGGAGTGTTGGCTCAAAACTGGCCTGGACGGGAAGTTGTTGTTTTCCTATTGGGGCGGTTTATTGATGGGAGGAAACATCGAGTGAAAACATGTTTGAACACAGTGCTCCTGGTTTCCGGCCCCCTTGGTGAGCAACCCTTGGCGAAACCCTGAAATATCAAAGTTTTCTAGGGGTTGATTTTCAACCATCGTTCTTGTCCAAAACCAGCATTTTTCCCTGGGTTTTCGGAGGTTTGCTAGAAAGAAGGATCCCAGGAAAGAATGGGAATGTACCCCTAGAACTTGTTTTTTGTTGAACACTTGGGCAAACTATAGCGGGCTCACCCAAAATAGGGTCCTTCACTTGGGGTTGTGTTATTTCCGGTTTGGGTTTCAATTGTGGGAAGTCGCCCAGATTGATTTGCTGCCTTTGTTGAGGCGGTGGGTGCTTCAGAAGTGACAAAGCTGGGGATGTTGCGGAACAACCTGTGGAAGGTGGATATCTTGGGAAGACATTTGTTCGTGGGAAAGGGACATCCCATTGGAAACTGAAGGGGGGGCAATCTTGTAGGAAAACAATGGCTGCCTTTCCTTCCCACAGAACAGCCACAGGTCGGACTCAACTTAGAAGTTCCTGGACGTTCACTTCTTCTTTTGGGCTTGGACCAATTGAGTGGTGAATCAAAAGTGTGGCTACCTTTTTGGGCAAACCCACTCGCTCGGACAAGTTCTAGGGTTTGATTCCCCATTCTTTTCCACCATCGCTCTTTTCAAAAACCGGATCCGTTTTCCCTGGGTTTCTGGAGGATTTCTAGAAAGAAGTTCGGATCCCTGGGTCAAGAATGGAAATGGAAGGTCCCCCTGCGCACCGGGTTCTGAGGCCTTGGCGCAGGCGCTCTGGACCGGCCCACCGAATCCTGCGCTCGCGGATGGCCGGCTGCTGGCCTTGGGCGACCAGAGACGCTTCGTTGCGAAAGTTGGACCGATCGGAGCTCCAAAGCTCTGCTTTTGGGCGGCGGAGCTTTAGACTTGGCGGTTGAAGTCGTTTTTCCCCACTAAAACATCACTAAACCCAAGAACACCTTCGCCAATAGACTTAAAGCCCTTAACTTTGCGTTTGGTTTACTGTAAGCTTTTTGTTTATTTGCCCTTAACGAAACCCACAAACTTGTTCATTAAGCTTTTTGCCGAGTCGTTGATTTGCTCCAGGAAAGTGCCCCGAGCCATGAACGTGGGACGGAATTCACTGAAGCGTTGTTTGTTTTTCGTGTTTTTTTGGGTTGGTTGTTTCGGGACCTGTCAGAATTGACCGGATCTGAGCTTTGGCTTTTTTTTCCCGTTGGCCCATTGGTCAAGGTTCCATGGGGATGGGTTTGTCTCCATTTCGGAAAGCTGAAGGAAGAAAGACGCAGTCTCGCTTGCCAGCGGATCGACCTAAGGGACCTTTTCTTCGGTTTTCCGGATTTGGGTTAGGTTTCATGGCCCAAGCTGATTGTTTCTGGACGGGGCAAGTGAGTTGAATGGCCATGAAACTCATGGCCAGGAACCCCCCCGGCTTCAGTAAGCTCCGATGGGGCTATGTGGATCAAACGCAGGGTCTCCCCAAATTCGTTTGCGCAGGTAAAGGGAAGCAAGGACGAAACACCTGTACGTGTGTTCCTCTTTTTGTCTCTTTTTCTGATGGTTGAAGTGAGACTTTACGATGGCCTTAGTTATGTTTTCAAAGTTCATCAACGATACCCTAAGCGTGGAGGTCCATGTGCCACTTATCGTGTTGCCCCCCCCTCAACCCAAAATAAAGGGATCCTGTTCATCAAAAAAGTGTTGGTTCCCCTTTCGCCTTACCACCTTATCCCTTGCAATCTGTTGATCAAATTGAGCTACAAACACTTTTGTGTTGCAGTGTTGCCACGGCGCCTTGTGTTCATTTGGGCGGCGCGTTGCTTCAGCCGGACGGTTCAGCATGACACCTTCCTCCACCCACTTCGGCTCTCGGATCTCCGAGTTTTTGGTCGTGAAATGCAAAAAGAAAGGGTTTTCCTCTGGGGGATTTGGAGACTCTTTGGTAGGGTGTGCTTTCTTTTCACCATCAGGGTATTTCGAGAGCGTCAGTGCAAGGGCAACTAGGAGTAGTGGCCACAAACCTGGGCAGAAGCAGCACGCCACCCCACCCCCCGGGTTATTAAGTGACGGCCGCGTGAAAATCCAATGTCTCCCTGGATGGCCTAGTCGCCCTGGCCCTGAATGAATGACTAGGGAAGGAGCCACTGAAAAGGAATCCCATCCCATCCCACCCTGTTGGGTGTAGTTATAGTGGCGGGCCCTTGAGGGACTGAAAGGAGTTTGATCTCTCTCCATGTGCCATGGGACCGCTGGGAAAAGGGCACGTTGTTTTTTTTTTTACACGTCCGTCGGAGGGGAGGTCGACCTCGAAGACTTAAGTAACCCTGCCCCAAGCCCCTTTTGCCATTTTGGATGCACGCGAAATCGGGATTCCATCAGCCTGCATCTACGACATGAACAGAGCCCACACAAACAACAACGAAGAAGACACAGCCATAAACCAGGAGCAAGGAGGATCCAAATCAAGTTAGTGACAAAGTGTCCTTTCCACTCGTCGTCATCCAAGGAACAAAGCCAGCATTGAAGCGTCCCAGCTTGCACACCGCTCGAACCAGCCCTGTGTTGGTGGACTGAGCGAGCAGTTTTCGGTGCAGCTTGTGTTGGTGCTGCGGATGAAGCGTGGAGTTTCTACGAAGATGCTCCGACCTTTGCAAAGCCTGAGGCTTTGTTCAGAAACTGCCTTTGACCTGCGACGTCAAATCGACTTGTGGGCCTGGTTTACGTACTCACGTAGGATGCGCAGTTTAGCATGTGTCGCAGCAAAGCGTTTAGTATCAACAACGCTGAGTTATTGTTTTGCCTTGTCCGGCTACTTGAATCAGATTGAACAAGCAGAGGTGGCAGTGCAACCTGACGAGGTCTCGTCGGGGTCCTCCATATGTTGCCCGCCGCTTCAAATGTCTTTCTTCCAGTGATTGGTTCAAGGAAAGTTGAAGTCCCGCTCTAGAGTCCAAACACTTAGCATACAAACCGGTTGCCATGTGCCAACAATTCCATTCTGGCGGCAACCGGCCAGAATGATAGCATGCCAAACGCAGGACCCTTCACAAGCGGCTATGGAAGCGACGGGCTTCATTGTACTTACATGTCAGCTCAACTGTACCTCATTGGTGGTGTGGCGCTTAGGGGCTGCTTAAGCAGTTGGCTCATAGGTTCAATCCTGGAAGCCTTCCTATGGCACTTTGGGGGCCAAGTAGAACATGTTTTTGCTGGGCTGATGCTTGCGGTGAAGTGTAGGGCCTCATTTCCCACCCCGCCGCCAAGTCGAGATGCGATGTTGTTGCCAGAAGATCATGCGCCGGAGAAATGCTGCGTCATGCGTGCTACGCGTCGAGCCAATCGTATTTTTCCGTGGTGGATGCGCGTCAGCCTGGGGCCCAGCAGGGCACGCAAGTAACGCTCTTCTGGCAGCACCAGCCTTGCTGACCCGGGTGGGGGGGGTAGTGGTCATCAGTGAGTCCATGAACAACTGTTACGTGCCCCGTATGTGGCCAACGACCAAGTAGTCATCATACTGTGGAATTACGAATTCCATTTCGCACCACCCCTGAATTGATGGTTGCCGCTTGTAAATACCAGCAAACAGTTTCCCATATGCATGGTATTGCATGGTTTCAAAGTGGTGCTGGATTTTGCTTATCCGCAGTAGGTACGGCTTTGGTATTGCAGAAAAGGTTATGTCCCAGAATCATAACCGGGGCTGAGCCTGCGGCTACGGCTCTTGGTGATGGAACCTTAGGTTTCAGCAGAGCCCTCCTTTTGCGCGCTGAAGCCGGGGATTCATGCATTCCTAAATGGGGCAACCCTTCATTGTCCCTGCTTCTGTTCTTGGCAAGTGCTTTGTTTTTGTTTGACTCGGTGTTTTTATTTTTATTAGGGAGCTGCGGTGTTCACATCGTCTTTCGAAAGGTCCAAACCTGCGGCTCCAAACCCATTGAGCCACGTGCTCAAAACCGAGTCGGGCAAATGAAGGTTAGGAAGGGATACTCCCAACCATAAATCGCTGCGGATATCCGGCTTCTTCATTACCGAGGCATGGTTTTGGGGCTTGGGCCAGTTTAATACCGGGTTTTGATCATGACTCAACTAAAAAGAACAAGCGACATGATATGGATGGACCAAATCCTGCACCACTTGGAATCCATGCTCGGACTACCATGGAAGCTAGAGGGGCTCTGTGAATGGAACTGAGTCTTTTTCTGGGAGCGTCCATGTTGGGGGAGGGTACGTTGGGGAACCGAATTAGAAACCAGGGTTTCTGAACGGTGCTGCGAGAAGCGGGTTTCGGATTTCGCCACAGAGGTTGCACTCCTCGGGTGGGCCGACCGCCGCTTTTTTGGCCAGCGAGGGTTTCGCAACGAGTCCGAGAGCCGGGCGCCCCTTGGTGTTGTGGCTGGGTGGAGCTGGTGCTGGTGGGGTTTTCAGGGGTTGGGGGCTGGGTGGTTGGAGTTGGAGTTGGGATCCCTTTTCCATACTTTACATCTTAAGGTTTCACTCAAAAGGCACCAGAATCAAGCATCTGTATGTTGTGACGGGCGAAAGGCCGATTTTGGCTTGGGCTCCTGCAGTTCCTGTCTTGTTTGGAAGGGGCAATATTTGCACTTCCGAGGACACACGGTTTCGTGCCTCTGTTTGCCCGACCAGAGGCAGTGCCCAGGCTTTCCACAGGGTCTCTGAAAGGATACGATGGGTTAAACCACATCAACCAGCGGATCTAGATGATCCCCCTGTCTGAAATCTCTCTGTCCTTTGATGCTGTTGGGTAGGTTATTTTTATGGACCAGAGTCAGAACATGTGTTGTGTGTACCCCTGATGTACGCCAGTAGGCGATCTTTGGATGCCTTGAACCCCGGTTCCCGGAGTGAGAAGCTCGGCAGGTCTTGGGGGGTGTGCACTGGCGAGCCTGTAGGCGCAAGGAACCCACGAGTCCACCTCCCCATGTCGAGAAGTTCGGTCAAGATCCTGGCCCCTTTTCGCCACCAGGGGAAACCAAAAAATGCAGCATGAGCAGCCTTTCGGTGGCCACCTGTTTTGGTGGCTCATATAAGTGGGAGACTTGAGCAAATGCTGGGAGCTCAATGTTGCAACCCCAGGGTTAGATCCCAGGAAATTCGGAAGCCAGCCCCTTTTTGTGCTAGGGAGCTCGAGCTGTTGCAAGTACCAAAACTGTATATATATATATAATTATATATATATGTACATATAGATTTGTTTTGGTCTGAGGGTGTTTAATTTGTTGATGTTGCGTTTTCCTGGTCTCCGAATTGGAATGGTCGAAAAGAGAACTCAACTCGATCGGGGATCGCCACAGGGTCCGGGAATGTCAGGAAGTAGCTGCGATGCATAGGAGCAATGCGTTTGCGGCAGCCATGGGTGCCTACAGTTTCAGAGGAATAGAGGGGAACTTCCCGGGTTGGGTTACCATGACAGACGGGCAGTGCCACCTAGAAAGTCCGACCCTTTGAATGCGGCATGTTGGAAGGTAAGAGAGAGCAACCATTGCGATTCAAAAGGTTCCCCGTGTTCCCTGCATCATAACCCCAGTCAACCGTACCATCCCTTACAAAAAAAAAGTACGAGAGGGGGTACCTATTTACTTGCACAGCGCCTGAGAATGCAAAAGAAAGACAAGGGGGATTCCTGCGGGCCCAAGCGACGGTGTGACCGGGCTGAGGTTGTTCATGCTTGCCACTTGTGATGCTGAAGAAGGCCCCGTGAATCCGGGACATGCAAGATTGGATGCCGATTCCGAGTCGCCATCTTGTATAAGCAATTGGCAACGTTCTGAAATCTATTCAAAGATAGATTAAATCGTCATGTGGCAACTATTGACTGACATGCACATGGTGGCAATTACAGAATCTATTCTCTAAATTTGCCGTGGTTTTCCATATGGTTGAGTCTGGTTGCTTGCATGGCAGGGGCACCCACCGGGCCTTTGCCGAGTGAGCAAACAAATTTATCTCTTCGAAGCAGAGTAACCACAGGGTGGCAAAGTATCGTCAAGGATGAAGATGACTCAAAAGACGAAAGGGGAAGGTCTCATTTCAACGTTCATGACGCCAGATTGCGAAGACTTGAAAACCTGAGGGTTGGGCGAGGGGTGTTGACCCCCGACCGACTCCCAGAACCGCCTTTGAACCACCCTCCCTGGCAGCGAAATGGACCCGTTTTGCTTTTAATTGTCATTCTTCGCAAAGAAGCCAAGAGGTCACGGATAGAACATTCTCCGCTTTTTAGACCCCTCCGAAAAATGGCACACAAAATGGAACCCTATTTGCCCATAATAGGCCTCCTTGCCAGTAGAGCCGGCGAAGCCGGTTGCCGGAAGTTGCAAATATTGGAACTAGATAATACATGGCTCGGTATCGTTTCTCTCTCTCTCTCTCTCTCTCTCTCTTTGTTTCTCTCTTTCTCTTGCTCTTTCTCTTCTTTGGCCTTTCTCTTTGTCTTTATATGCATCCTCTCTTTCTCCTCTGTCTGAATACCTGTCCTGTTTGTCGAGAAAAGGCTTCGCGTAAGTCACGTGTTTATCTTTATTTGTCTCTTTATGTTTCGCTTGTTCTATCTGTTGATCTATCTGTCTATCTGTCTATCTATCTGTCTATCTAGCCATCTATCTAGCTAGCCATCTATCCAGTACATGTCTTTCAGCAAGCGGCCAAAGAATTGCACTCTTCGGAATGTGTGCAGAGGTATGACACTGACAATGGCCATGACACCCGCTTTTTCGACCAGCGGGGTCCCTCCGCAGCTAGGCCGCGGTGTTCGCTGCCCCGCCCGCCAGGCCGCGATGCGCTTCTTCCGGAGCTCCGGAAGGCCCTGCGCCTGGAGCTGCTGAAGAGCCCTACCTTTGCGGCTCGGCGTTGGGAGGGCGTGATGACGTGGGGAGGTGGGGGGGTGTCTCTGGTTGCGAGGCATCGTTTTTTTTGTTTTGGTGGTTCTGTTGCACCAAAGGGGCAACCGTTTGTGGCGTCCCCGCGAAAACACGGCACTCCCATGTGTCGAAAAGGGCCAAGGATTTCGCAGACGCTGTTCAGCTTTCGCCTTTTGGTTTCCCGTCAATTAATTATGCCCACCCAGGAAAGGGTAAACACTCAAGAACCAAGCATGCGCACCCGAAGCTACAGCATTTGGGCCTGGGCGCCCAGATTTTCACCAAAGTGTGGGGAGCAAGGCTGGAACCACCTTAGAACGAGAGAGCGAAGAGGGAGATGGAGAAATACAGGGATAGAGAGATATTGAGAGGTATAGTTGAGTTTCCTTGTGTTTTTGATGCAGTAGTCATCCTGCCAAAAGAGCGGTCTAGTTGACGCGCGTTAAAACCATCTCAAGTCAGTACTAGGAGCGGTCCCTGTCTTTTTGTGAGGACAAATTCACATGTACGAATCAGATCAAGATCCAGCAACATGGTCCCTTCCCCGCCTCTCCATTCGCGAGAGATCATCCTGTTTTTTTTTTTTTTTGTGTGTTTTCCTTTGGAGGCTCTAATTCCTAAGTCAACTCAAAGGAAACCAAATTCAGTGGATTGGTCAGAAGACCTGCTTACTTGTCCAAGTGGTCCACAAAAGTCATCTTCCTCCCAAACAATAAACAAGGCATTCAAAGCCTCGCACGCCGGAAAGCTACCAAAAGTTCACAAAAGTTAAGCGACGTTCAAACAAACGTGAAAAGGGTGTCTCCACTAAGAGAATAACCCGGGCTGTGCAAAGGCCCAAGCCCCTTGGACCCCCCCTTAGGGTTCCTTTAAGAATGGAGCTGTCCATCGTGTGGTTGGTCAGGTCTTTCTGTGTTCCTTTCTGCCTCATGAGGGCAGGCTCGCTGCCTCTTACCCAGTTATGGACCTTGCGTGCAACAGTCCTCTCAGAATCGTGTGTCCCATCACTCATGTGACCAATATGTCTGGCCAATGCAGCGGCCTGAAGGACGGAGCCTGGGCTTAAGGCACGAGCGCCTCAACGTACCCGCATCGAAGGAATTATGCCATCTACTTTTGCCGTTACCCCATACCTTTGGGTGTGGGCGGGTCCAAAAAGGTACCAAAAAAGGAACCCTAGTAAAGGTAAACAAGGACTAAAACCTGCGGTCCCCTGGTGGTTAGTTTTGACACATACCCATACAACGCCACAGTTCAGCAGAGGCGCCATGCAGTGCCAGCTTCCTCGAGGAGACGGGGAGAGTGTCAGGGCTTTAAGGTGTAAAATGTCTGAATTCGTTTCAGGGAGGCATGCAAGGAACGCAGTTAATTAGCAAGTAAATAAATGTCAGGTAGGGATGAGAAAAGGGACCGCCGCAAACAAATGGGGGGGGGGGGGGTTAAGGATTTTTTGAACTGCATACAAAGGGCGTATATGGTTTGAGCATGTAACGGTTTCGTAAGTATTGGTGTTGCATTGATTTATTTTGGTCCAGTACTGCTTCGAAATTATTTGTTGGTCGCCCTCAGGGCAACATATTGCTTGGTCCTTTTCAAGATCAGATGTTAAAGTCTGTTTGACAGGTGTCGTTGTAAGCTCTCTGCATGCTGCATTCGAATATCACCAGGGATGCGCGTGTGTATGTTGTCTTTGACCCACTATGTGCAACCAGCAACCAATGTTTTGTTTTCCCCGTTTCATTCAGTCTGTTGAGTCCCGACTTGTTTGGCCGGCCCTCTTGGACATCGGCTGGGTTTGATTCCCCCTGCTGCTTTCCCAGACTTTGCTTCTCCTTTTTGGGTTTCGTCAGTGTCCTTTGGCAAGGGCCGGGTGGGGCTTGGGTTACTCCCCTGCAGATCATCATAGAACCCAAAGAACCCACCATTTGTCGGGGACATGGTGGGTCCCGTGCGAATTTGCGGGGCAGTAGCTTGAAAGGGTGCCCTTTCAAGTTACGCCAAGCGATCAGCAAGTGGGTCACAAATCTAGCAACCAAATGAATACGTGCGTGGAGATAGGCAAGAACAGGCATGCGCCGGGAGCCACATATGGGCCATTCGTGGGTGTTGACTTGGTTACATGTTTAGTATTGCAGTAAAATCCAAGGGGAAGCACACGTAAAACACGGTTCAAACCTGTTTCGGGTGTGGCTCAAAGTCTCACTTCCTGAGTTTATGGAGCTTTAATGACTTTGTGGGAAGACCATTGTAGTGGACCAACAAGCTCGGAGGCTTTCTGGCCAATCCAAAGTGGTTTCCCGACTCTCCGAAAGCTACCCAGAAGGGCCTCATATGTTTAGACACGTGGGTGTTTGTCAAAATGTTCTGTCCCCTTCAATGGTTGCTTGGCTTTGGGGCGTGCCTGCAAGCCCCAACCAAAATAGAGATCACGATTTTGACACACTCCAAATGGGTTTGAGGGTATCCTTTTCAGGTTGTTTCAAGGATTTTGGAGGTACCCCTATTTTAACACACACCGGTCACATACCCATTTGGTTCAACAACCGGACGGGGCCTCTTAGGGCTACCTGGCCCAACCCTGACTTGGCTGAGGCCTTTGAGAGAAAAGCTGCCATGAGTGAAAGTGTTTGTGCTTGGTGGCTCGCAGCCATCCGGTTCCTTAGCTTTGTAGCTTTTTAGTGTTTCGTGTTTGGTTTTCCACTTCGCCCACTAACAGTGAGTCACTTTTAGCGGGGGATCTCGAGGACAGCTCAGTATTTTGTTTGATCCACGTGGGGCCTTGTGGATTTGGCAGGAGCTGCTTCTGGAGAGTGATCAGCGACAGCTAGCAGCTGGAGAGCGGCTGGGCAGAAGTTTGAGCTGCAGGTTTTTTTCTTGGTCACTACATTCTGGGTGAATTATAACAACCTCACGGCCTCACCCCAAATGTTTATTTTTTGTGGGAAGACCCTGAGTTCAGGAAGAAACCAGGCAGGATTCTAGGGGTTGATTCCTTTTCCATTCTTTTCAACCATCGTTCTTTTAAAAAACCGATCGCTGTTTCCCCAGGGCTTGTGGTTTTGTAGAAAGAAGGATGCCTGGAAAGAACGGGGAAGGCACCCCTAGAACATTGGCTTTGCCGGACTTAGCTTGCCTTTTTGGCCATTGGCCCTTTAAGAGGTTCCTCCATTTTTTTGCGCTTTGCCAGCACGCCCTTTGACTTTTTTGCAGTGTGTCGAAGCTGGCCAAGATTGTGTTGCGGTAGTTTAAGGAACTACGTGTAACTGCAATCATTCGTTTAGAACAGTTTGACGATTGTTGTGTTTGAATAATTTTGAGTGAGGTACATTGATGCATATATAGCCAAAACGTCAATTTCCGGCCAAAAACTTGAGTATTCCAGAAGGGGGGGGGCACCATATGTTTAGGTATCCTGGCATGTATTTGTTCATGCCACCAACAGTTCCACTTCATGGTGGCGCAGACATAGACAGATCTCGAAGCAGGGATACAAAGGGAATCGGAGGTTTTTTCTTAATGTTTTTCGCTTTTGGCTTTTGGGCTTCTTGGCGTTTGGCTTCTTGGCTTCTTGGCTTTTCGGCTTCTTGGCTTCTTGGCTTCTTGGCTTCTCGGCTTCTTGGCTTCTTGGCTTTTTGGCTTCTTGTTGGTTTATGCGGCTTTTGCATTCCCAGTTCCTCTTCGGCAGGTGGCGTTTTGGCTTTTGCTGCCTTTGACTTTTCGCATCCTCTGCTTTCCCAGTTCCTGTCCGGGCGTTTTGGCTTTTGCACCTGTTCATTGGTTTTTTGGATTTGGCTTCCCGCATCATCAGCATCACCAGTGTTCTCCCCTATTTGGCTCCCCCCCACCCGCCCAGTAGGTACCAGAGATGTCCTGGTGGTAGTACTCGCCGTCCCCGCCAGAGTCCCACCAGGAGTAGCCACCGTCTTCCTCTTGGTTCCAGAAGCCGTCTTCCATCACGCTCTCCAGGTTGTGCTCTTGAGTCTTGGTGGGGTAGTCCTGCATGGGGTTCTTGTTCACCCAGTGGACCTGGTTCAGGTCGACGAACTCCTCGACCTCCATCTCCGTGCCCGCCTCTACCTAGAGGGCTTTTATTCCAAGGTCCGAGACGGATCTTCCCGCCTCCAGCCCGGTGACCGCCTCTCCTTAAAAGACTTTAATTCCCAGGTCCGAGACGGATCTTATTGCCTCCAGCCCGGTGAGCGCCTCTCCTGGGAGCGAGAAATCCCCGAGACGGATCTTTCCACCTCCAGCCCGGTGAGCGCCTCTCCTGGGAGCAAGAAATCCCCGAGACGGATCTTCCCGCCTCCAGCCCGGTGACCGCCTCTCCTTAAAAGACTTTAATTCCCAGGTCCGAGACGGATCTTATTGCCTCCAGCCCGGTGATCCTTCCCCGAGACGGATTGCCTCCAGCCCGGTGAGCGCCTCTCCTGGGAGCGAGAAATCCCCGAGACGGATCTTTCCACCTCCAGCCCGGTGAGCGCCTCTCCTGGGAGCAAGAAATCCCCGAGACGGATCTTCCCGCCTCCAGCCCGGTGACCGCCACTCCTTAAAAGACTTTAATTCCCAGGTCCGAGACGGATCTTATTGCCTCCAGCCCGGTGAGCGCCTCTCCTGGGAGCGAGAAATCCCCGAGACGGATCTTTCCACCTCCAGCCCGGTGAGCGCCTCTCCTGGGAGCGAGACGGATCTTTCCACCTCCAGCCCGGTGAGCGCCTCTCCTGGGAGCAAGAAATCCCCGAGACGGATCTTCCCGCCTCCAGCCCGGTGACTTAAAAGACTTTAATTCCCAGGTCCGAGACGGGCCTCCCGGTGAGCGCCTCTCCTGGGAGCGAGAAATCCCGAGACGGATCTTTCCACCTCCAGCCCGGTGAGCGCCTCTCCTGGGAGCAAGAAACCCCGAGACGGATCTTCCGCCTCCAGCCCGGTGAGCGCCACTCCTTAAAGGACTTTTATTCCCAGGTCCGAGACGGATCTTCCAGCCTCCAGCCCGGTGAGCGCCTCTCCTGGGAGCGAGAAATCCCCGAGACGGATCTTTCCACCTCCAGCCCGGTGAGCGCCTCTCCTGGGAGCAAGAAATCCCCGAGACGGATCTTCCGCCTCCAGCCCGGTGAGCGCCTCTCCTTAAAAGACTTTAATTCCCAGGTCCGAGACGGATCTTATTGCCTCCAGCCCGGTGAGCGCCTCTCCTGGGAGCGAGAAATCCCCGAGACGGATCTTTCCACCGCCAACCCGGTGAGCGCCTCTCCTGAGGATAAAAAAAACATATCCTGGTCCGAGACGGATCATTGTGGAGAGACGGATCTTTCCGCCTCCAGCCCGGTGACCGCCTCTACCTAGAGGGCTTTTATTCCAAGGTCCGAGACGGATCTTTCCACATCCAGCCCGGTGAGCGCCTCTCCTAGGAGTAGGAAATTATCCAGGTCCGAGACGGATCATTGTGGAGAGACGGATCTTTCCACCGCCAGCCCGGTGAGCGCCTCTCCTAGGAGTAGGAAATTATCCAGGTCCGAGACAGATCATTGTGGAGAGACGGATCTTTCCACCGCCAGCCCGGTGAGCGCCTCTCCTGAGGATAAAAAAACATATCCTGGTCCGAGACGGATCATTGTGGAGAGACGGATCTTTCCACCTCCAGCCCGGTGACCGCCTCTACCTAGAGGGCTTTTTTTTCCAAGGTCCGAGACGGATCTTTCCACCTCCAGCCCGGTGAGCGCCTCTCCCTGGGGAAAGAATTTCCTTCACCTCGAGACGGATCTCCCGCGAAAATCTCGAGACGGATCTTGTCGCCTCCAGCCCGGTGAGCGCCTCTCCCTGGGGAAAGAATTTCCTTCGCCTCGAGGCGGATCTTCCACGAAAATCTCGAGACGGATCTTGTCGCCTCCAAACCAGTGAGCGCCTCTCCCTGGGGTGGAATTATTTTTTCTCTCCCGCCTCCAGACCATCCCTAGGGAATTATTTGTTCGCATGGACCGAAGCGTTTGAGCGGATCGTGCATGGACCGAAGTGTCTGAATGGTTCGAGCATGGGTCGAAGCGCTTGCACCGTTGCCATGCAGCACGCATTGACCGAGAGCCTGCTGGTCACCATGGAGGAGTGGGCAGCCAAGCAGCCTGCCGCCCTTCCGGATGCGCTGGAAGCGGTGGAGCGCATCTCCGAGCTGCTGGATCTGAGCGGCTTGTTCTCGGCGCTGCTGCTGCACCCTCGCAGAGACAGGAAGAGCCTGTCCTACACGGGGGGCATCCGAGTCAGCGGACTTGACTTCGGATTCCCCTGCCCCTACGGCGCTTTGGAGTCCTACCTCACGAAGGACGGATGCCGAGTGATGACCAGAGATCCCGGAGACGATCTTTGGTCGCAGACGTTCGACTGGTTGGCTCCCGAGCCCTCGCTTGGGCACCTCAACGCCGACACCAAGGGCGATTTCCTGGAGCTGACCCTGGCCGCGGCTGCGCAGGTGCTGGATTGCGCTGAGAAGCGCTGCAGCGAGCCGCTGATGCGCTGCCTGCACGCCGCGCGGCTGCTGATCGAAGATGAGTTTTACAGCATTTTCTCGCAAAATTGCCGCATTTTCTACTAGCCCGACAACATCCCCAGCATCGTTTTCAACATCCCCCGCATGTCCGACCAACATCCCTAGCATCACCAACAAATCGTGAGTAACAGAATCAAAAAAGTAGCTGGCAGGTTGACGGGGTCAAAAAAAATGATGAGGCTGGGCGGCAGCCCCCTCCATGATGTTCAAGAAGTGATGATTCAAATGGGGGTGCCATTAAATCTCTGTAAAGTCTAAAACTTAGCGGCGGGGTTGGGGGGGGGGCGGCAGCCCCCCCCCCATGATGTTCGAAGAAGTGATGATTCAAGTAGGGGTGCAATGATTCAAGAACGGGTGCGATAGACATTAAAAGGCAGCGGGAGGGTTGGCGAGGGTGGCTTCCCCTATGATGTTCGAAGAAGTGCATACATACAGACATACATGGATTACATAGATTACAGAAGTGCATACATACAGACATACATGGATTACATAGTCGTGTTTTGCAGCATTTTCTCGCGAAATAGGACGCTCGAAAAAGTGATGATTCAAATAGGGGTGCAATTAAATCCCTGCAAGAAATCTAAAAAGTAGCGGGCGGGTTGGGGTGGGGAGGCGGCAGCCCCCACCATGATGTTTGAAGAAGTGTTGATTCAAATAGGGGTGCAATTACTCTGCAAACAATCGTTTTACTGGCCCGGACGAAAAGCGAAAAAAAATCCAAAAAAAGATCCGAAAAACAATAATCCCAAAGTAAATCCGCACCCAATCTACCACTGCTGGACAGATTGCTTTCTCAGGGGACTTAAGCCTTAAGCAAAATACCTGGGGACTACCATGGAACAGAAAGGGTTGAGGAGCCTCTCAGCCACAATGTACCTTAGAGTCGAAGGGCCCCTGAGGACAACGATCCTCCCCAGTGAGGTTCCATGTGAGCGCGGGCAAGTTCTGAGGTTGTCTCAAACTGGGGGCCCCTCAAACTTGGCGGGGTTCCTTTTGTTCTCCTTTGCAATCACCCCAAGAAGGTGCCATCAAAAGACGATCAACCCTGATGGGAGTGTATCAAG